GAGACACACGGAGCTCCCTCTAAGAGAAGTGTTTAGAGCATTGCCAAACTTCATGAACGACTGTACGGAACTCGTTTGTTTTGCTCGCGTGCACATGCCACCGTGCACCTCTGATGTTCAGTTCGAACAGCAAAGCCAGCCACGTTAGGTTGTGCTTCGGCAGGACAGCCGGTTTGTTGGGACAACCGAAGTGGGGGACTCCGTGTACAGCGCCTGTATTGTGCTCTAGGCTGACGGGCATGGCGCGCTTTAGGCTGTTAAAAACGGTAGTGCACTAGCACAGAGAACGCGAGCGGGCCTATTTAGCTAGCTGACGGGTGTCCGGCCGCTTAGTGGTTGAATATTCGGCTTGCTGGTGGATTTGCCTGCTGACTGGTAGTGCCTTTAGAAAAGAATCAGGGGCGCTGGTACAATTTGCCATCACTCTTGGTCTCTTCTTCCCAGAAAAAGATGTGTTAGGATAATTCACGGAACTAGCATCAGGACAAAATTCATAGGCCCTGTGTTCCGTACTAGGCGGCTAACAGCGCATTTGCCAGCTTAGTGCGCGAGAAGCTTCCTCCCTTACGCCCATGGCCGAACGCTGCGCAAGGTGGGCACCAACTTTTTGTCAGCGGCGCTACAGAACAAATTCCGTTGTGCCGTATAGGCAGTTAACGTAGACTGTTGGCCCATGGTTTGTCCAACGCTACCGTTGAGTACCTGTGGCGGCGAGCGGCAGAATCAGCTTTGCTTTGACAGCTGTTTAGAACAAGGTCTCGTCTCCTGAAGTGCGCCCACGTGCAGCGATTACTCGCACAGTGGGTTAGGTCCCTAGAGTCAGTGACGTAAAAACAGTGACGTGCAAACAACCGTTGTCGCGGAACCGAACATATACCACAAAACTATGTTTACCAACGTGGAGTTGCAACCAGCCTGGGATGGTCGGCATGTCAATCTCGACATATCGTGGTCATGGTTTTCTCCATTTAGGCAACAGATCAATTGTTCCTTCGAAATCCTTTGCCTATCAAGCATGTACTTCTCAGTAAAATACACCACCACAAGCACCTCAAATAGAAAGGCAGATCAGAAGAAACACCGAACACATCAAACGATCAAGAAAAATCGTATTGTGCTCACGCTTCGTATACACGTAGTGTGCCTCAAATACGGATGGTTCGTAAGTTCAAAAATGCTTCATGCCCCTTCCAGTCAATGGGAGAGAGTGTCGTCCATTACTCGCAACAAATACCTGTTTTGAAGAAAAGACTCAAAC